TGCGCAATTCTCCCGTTTAAGGAGAGGGAAGAATTATCCTAACACTCGTCTTATCCGCCCGTATTCTTTGTCTGCCGAGAGACGGGGGATTAGGAAATGTTCTAGATTACGCTCTATCTCTGCTCATAAAATACGCGTAACGCCGGTAGAATTTTAATTGAAACGATCATTCTGCGAACGCGATTTATTTCGCGAACTGTGACGTCAGCGTCACTCTTCGTTATAAGCTGATAATTAATCGCTCGAGTGGCAAGATTGATTCGGTTTTCTACGCTTGTGGAGATCAATTTTACGGTTAGATTCTACGGTTCAATTTAAAAGCGGAAAGATGGTATCGTGACGGGGGGCATTTGTTAGCCGGATGATAAAGGAAATCGTTATTTAAACGGCCGCACGATGTTTCTACGGTAATTAATAATCGAACAAGTTACCAGAGCTTCGAGGGGTAATTTCGGTGATTACTTCGGCAACGATTACTGTCGAGGGCCTCTCGCGCGAACGTGATTCTGAAGTTTCCGTGGGCGTCGTGCTAAATCGTTAATTACGATCAGCGCGATTAATCACCCCATTGGCGACGACGGCAATTTAAACGACGCGGGGTAATACACCGGATGTAAACAAGATTTAAAGCTGAACCACTGGAAAACATCCTTATAATACCTTTTGTTGTAATCATTTTATCTTTAAAATTTTTTCTGTCAAAATTTTATCCGTCAAAATTTCATCCGTCTCTTTTAATAATAGTCCCTAAAGTTTTTTATTGTTATCGATTTTTTGTGAGCACACTCTTTGTATAATTGCAGCGAAAATCGAGCGTTCCTTCAATTTTACGAGTGACGGTATATCGGATTTTAAGCTGCTCAGTTTACGTTGTAATCTGTTTATTTACGTCACTGGTTAATGAATTTATAAAACGATTAAATCGCGCCGAAATAGAGCTTTCAGCGCGGGATACGCGATACGTATTTCACGAGGCGAGCTTTAAACATAGCTAATTCAACAGCTCGGTAATTATGGCTTATCAGTGAGTCAGCTCCGAATGTTTTAACGAGTCAATCGTCCGTTTACATTCTTATTAATTATGGACGGACAAAAATTTCGGTGCTGCGTATAGAAATTGTGATATCAGATATTTTTGCTGATAACGTATTTAAATTTATAAATTTTAACTTCTCAAATTTTCCAAACTTTAAATTTCTCAAATACTAAATTTAGTAATTTTGCAAAAGTTTGAAGTTCCTATGAAAGTTATAAAATTAAATTTGCGGTTTTTATTCAGTAGAATGTGAAGACTGTTACAGAATGGCACGTAATATAATGTGCGCAATTATGTTGCAATTATTGCAAACATTCAAAGCGAATTTTCGTTATTAAATGTGCATTTAATCATTCAAAGCAGGTAATTAGAAGGAACGTTTCAGACGAATGTAGACACACTGATGAAGCTCTAAAATTCCAGATCCTCAAGCTGTCTACGATCCTCACTAAATAACGAAGTCATTCTCTAAAAGCGTCAATTAAACCACCGGAAAATGATCGTTTTTGTTACCCGATTTAGCACCGAAAATTAATTACTCCGAGCAAGAATTAATTCGAGAATCCTTTCTGGAGATTTTATGGGAGGACATCGAACAAGATCGCTGTCTTCCCGATGTTTCTACCGCAGTCAGACCACCGTAGAATTAACCACAGTCCCGTGATGTCTAGGGGTTCCTTTGGCCCAGGTTGCATTAACTTTCCGGATTGCGAGCACCTTCTACGAGATCCAATTCCAGGGAATGCGGTCATTTTCGCATCTCTTTCCGTCCGGTTCTATCTTACGAACTGCTGCTTCTCTGACCGCGAACTTCGAGTCTCGTTACACGCTAGTCGAACCGAACAAACGTACCCGTTTTATTCCTCGTCGGAAGCATTACGATCTGGAATGTCTACCAGTGATTCGTGGATGCACGCGTTAATTACGGAGATCTGTTCATTTACACGCTACTGGTCTTTAAATTAAGATATGTTGCATGTAATACACGTCGAAGATTTTAGTATTTATATCTGAACTGGTTTTATGAATCGTGGGTCAATGTGGAGGAATGAGAAATTTTTAAGTTATCAAATTTTTTTTAGGTCAGGAATTCTCATGTCCCCATATTCCTAGGTCCACGAACCTAACCTTCTCTAAGTCTAACCTTCACAACTTCTAAAATCCACTAATTCTCATGTCTCCAAATTTCTAGGTTCACAAACTCTAACCTTCACAACTTCTAAAATCCACTAATTCTCATGTCCTCAAATTTCTACGTCCACAAACTCTAACCTTCACAACTTCTAAAATCCACTAATTCTCATGTCCCCAAATTTCTAGGTCCACAAACTCTAACCTTCACAACTTCTGAAATCCATTAATTCTCACGTCCACAAAATTCTAGGTCCACAAACTCTAACCTTCACAACTTCTAAAATCCACTAATTCTCATGTCCCCAAATTTCTAGGTCCACAAACTCTAACCTTCACAACTTCTAAAATCCACTAATTCTCATGTCCCCAAATTTCTAGGTCCACAAACTCTAACCTTCACAACTTCTAAAATCCACTAATCCTCATGTCCCCAAATTTCTAGGTTCACAAACTCTAACCTTCACAACTTCTGAAATTCATTAATTCTCCTGTCCTCAAAATTCTAGGTCCTCAAGTTTTTATATGTTCGAATTCCTATCTCACCAAATCAACAACCCTGTATCTCTAGAGACGTGGATGCATCTCCAAATACATATACTTCCAAGTTCACAAGTCCTCAAATTCCTAGTCCTACAAATTCCCAGATTCACGAATTCCCACATCCAAAATGTATCAATCGTTAAATCCCACATTTTTCTACATCCCCATAAATCTCAAAATTCCTACCATTCCAAATCCAAACACCGAGCTCCCCAAATCTCATGGTATCAAAGCAACCTGGAAAAAATCCCGAAATATAGAAAGTGAAGAGAATTTTCGAGCGAATTTGGTCTTGATTGTACTGTTCGATATCACACCGGCCTATGTGTCCGGCAGGTTGGCCAACAGGGCGCGTGTTCACAGGTACGGCCAGGGGATTACCAATGAGGCACGTCGGATTACCGCAGTTAGCGGTGTTCGTTAGACCACTATTTTAATTAAGACTATTATACGCGTGCTCGAGTATTCGTATCGCGGCGTCGGGACGACCGTTACGTGAGCGGACCGCTAAAACGAGCCGCGACACCGCGTCGCGACGCTGATTCGTTTCGACTCGATCGACCTAACTTACCTATCGATTGCAATTATCGACGCGGCGCCACAATTAAAGTTAAACGTTCCACGATTCGAGGATGGAATTCAGAAGTTCAGGGCAACATCCTTCGCTTGTTGCGTTAATACTTCGCAAGGGATTTCCGAGAGATTATGTTTCGGGGTGGCGCAGGAGGGTGGCTTGTAAGTTGAAGTTAATGCGGCGGGCTTGCGAGCGGAATAATTGACGAGTTTATCGTTCGGGGTCAGTTTTTGCTCCGTTGCACCTAACCCCAGGAATTAGCAGTTTATAGGGGTTGCTATATCGAAACTGAACGAAACGTGGCTGGACGGTGCACTCGAACAAGAAAGATTTATCGATAATCCGCGGATATAGTTTGGGGATGTTTTATGGAGGAAATCGTTTTCTATGTGACGAGTAATCCTTTCGGGTCTTGCGTGTGCTTTGAGGTTTTTTTTTGCTTTTCATTTAGAAACATTATAATATTAACAATATCGAAAACATGTAGTAATATGAATAATATCAAAAACATATAATAATATGAATAATATAAAAATCATGTAATAATATGAATGATATAAAAAACATGTAATAATATGAATAATATCAGAAACATATAATAATATGAACAATATAAAAATCATGTAATAATATGAATAATATAAAAAACATGTAATAATATGAATAATATCAGAAACATATAATAATATGAATAATATCAAAAACATATAATAATATGAACAATATAAAAATCATATAATAATATGAATGATATAAAAAACATGTAATAATATGAATAATATCAGAAACATATAATAATATGAATAATATCAAAAATATATAATAATATGAACAATATAAAAATCATGTAATAATATGAATAATATAAAAAACATGTAATAATATGAATAATATCAGAAACATATAATAATATGAACAATATAAAAATCATGTAATAATATGAATAATATAAAAATCATGTAATAATATGAATGATATAAAAAACATGTAATAATATGAATAATATCAGAAACATATAATAATGTATGAATAATATAAAAATCATGTAGTAATATGAATAATATAAAAATCATATAATAATATGTATAATATAAAAATCATATAATAATATGAATAATATAAAAAATATATAATAATATGAATAATATCAAAATCGTATATTATTATAGTTACTTAACATAATGTAATATATGTGTAACTGCTTTATACAATATATGTAACTTTATGCATATACATGTATTACATATGCATGTATTACATGTATTACATATACATGTATTACATGTAACAAACATTCGTATAATATACATATGTGTAACTGCTTTATACAATACATATAGTTTTATGCACATACATGTATATATGTATATAACATACATTCGTATAATATATGTGCAACTGTTTTATACAATACATATAACTTTATGCATATTACATGTATACATGTATGTCACATATATTCATATAATGTATGTAACTGTAAAATGACGTCTAATTTCAACCCCTCAAAGTGAAGCATAAACTTTCGTATTATCGAAACATAAACTTTTCGTATAATTTTTTTGAAACTTTCCATTTTGACGTATTTTGTTGTGCTGATCAGCTGAATATTATCAGCTAAAATACGTATGCAATAAATGTACGAGAATTACAAAACTGCTAAGTGTCATCAGGACTAACGCTTTGGTAAATGTTTTTGTAAATAAAAGAAATTACCTGGTCGCAATCAAAGGACACGTGATACTCGGCGAGGCCCAAGCTTCAGGACTCCACGGTGCGCATTCGTAGAGCCTCAGTTCTCTTCCGGAAACCGCACCGAAAACGCTACGCCATCCTCCGGTGCAACCACCTCCTAAGCCGAATCCGCTTCCGGCTCCTCGCGATGTACTCGCGCTGCTACCCGCACCGTCCTCGCTGCTCTCGCTGCTGGCACGTCCGTTCTGTGGACAGATCGCGTGGCTCGCTCGTAAATCTTGCTTGGTGATGTTCTAACAAAAGTGAGGGGTGAAATGGTGCATGCGGAACGACTGATCGCACCGGAAATCGTGATCCGGCACGATTCACGCCCGTCGGAAATGCTTCTTTCGGGAACACGGAGGAGGCGAGGCAAGCGTGTGGCAGGGAAATTATGCGCGACACCTGCTCGTGCACGATAACGACGCGCGCCAGGAATTTGCGATTTCGTTCGACTCTCTCTCTCCGCTTGTTAAGCACGCTTGGATTCTAGGATTTTACCTTCGCGGCAAAATATTGCGTATCGACTCTGATGGAGATCCATTTGTTTCCATTAGCATTGGAACCAACGTTTAGTTACGCTGCAACTGGTAGATGCATACTAACCGTAGAACTAGGGAGAGTTAAAAAACTGAAATTGAATGCAGGCTTTTGGGTTGGGAAGGTATACTTAAATAAGTAAGAAGGTTGACCCTTTTTGCTGGTTTTAGACAGCTTTAGACTTATACCTTAGGATGTGAAAGGTAGTTCCTGTTAATTTTATGGATACATGATTTAAGGGCCAGCTGTCCTGAATCACACATGATTTCAACTGAGCAGCTGTTTTTGGAGAACAGTTGAGGAAAAGGCTTAGTTGTCATAACTCGTTAGAACCACATAGCTTATATCTACAATAAGCTTATATTGCTTATATCTGCTTCTGTATACAATAAGGGTATCTACATATATCGGACTACTCCAGACTTTTATTTGAGAGACCTTTATATTTGAGTTCATAGTACTGCATCAGTTAATGTATAACTATTCTTTGTTTCAACAAGGTGTGGCCGATATTAAGAATAATTAAGTATTAAGATTAAAAGTACAGAAACAAATGATTGTGACATAAAATGTGGAACATGGAACCAGTCAGTTTGACTGATTGGTAATTCTAGTGCTAACTTGACATTAGTAAGTAGCATCAATTAATATATACAATCATTCTCAGTCTCTATAAAGACATTTGTGAGACAATATATGGCACTTCGGCTAACGAACAGCGATCTAAAGTTTGTAACATAAAATGTAGGACCTAGAACCAGTCATCTGGACTGACTGGTAGTTCCAGTACTGACAGTGGTTCATTACAATCTAATTTCATTAGGTCTCCGTTGTTACCAATCATGACAAGTTCTATATCTGATAGTTAAGCTGACTCAAATTTATTTTCGTTGCCGTTCAAAAGTACTCAAAATCAGAAGAGTGTGATAGGTTTACTATAACTAAAAATTAGCGATTGAACAGGGTAAAAACTCCCACAACACTGAATGCAGTAGAGTATAAATGCAAACATGGAGCGGTCATAAAAACACGGTGGCCATTGAACAATATGTCCCGCTGTTAATTGCGTCCGAAGCGTTCGAAGCATATATGATTATACAAATTTCCCCTCCGTCCCAGCAGTACCATAACATCGGTCATTTGGAGTACACCGTATCGCATTATTTAGCTCACAGCGCATTATGACTCGAGAGAAAAGAGCGCGTAAAAGGGGATGGTAGGAAAGCGTGGAATGGACACGGTGTCCAGTGGCACGTGAACCATCGCGACGTAAACACGCGGCGTTTTCAACGGTATGTCAATATTCGACAGTTCAATTAATCCTCGATGTATCATCCCTGTGGGAAACAGATGGGGTACATTGTACGTCCTCCATCTACCGGATGCATTCCGACCGTGGCGAAAACCACGAACGCGATACGTACAACACAGTTACAAAGCCGTATCCGGTGCAGGGCCACGCTCCTCTCTTCGCTCGATATTGTCTCCGTTCGGGTATAAGTGCCACGGGAAAATGCGCTTGACACTTATGAGGCTACATTTCCTCGCTGGGACTTCCTCCTACCGGCTTTTCCCCGTTTTTCCACGGTTATTCTCTCTCTTGCCTGCCGTCTCGTTCTTGTCTGCGAACGGCGCATGTTTGGAATGCGACGCCGCCAACAGAAACTGCTTACGCTTCCGTCCACCGTGTTGTTTTCGCTCGTCGATAACGCGACGGAAATTCTCGAATTCTGCGTCGCCCTTTTGTTCGCCGAACTTCTATCCAGCGACACGCTGTCGGCACGAATTTTATATACAAACACGCGTTCGTGTGCACGTACCGAACAATTGTACCTCTCTGCCACGTCCGCAAAAATTTTCTTCTCCGTAAATATTAGTTTTGGGGAAAATTAGTGGATCTTGGGAATGCGAATTTAAACGAGGGTCATTGTTCTGGAGTTTGCATGGAGGAATGGTTAGAGCATCATGCATCTAATGGGTTGACTGTTTTATACATTTATTTAGGGTATTTAGGGCAGTATTTCGAAATATATTTAGCTTTGTATTTGGATCTATGTTTAGTTTTATATTTAATACTGTATGTAGTCTTGTATTTAGTATTATATTTAGTACTGTATGTAGTCTTGTATTTAGTACTACATTTAGTACTGTATGTAGCCTTGTATTTAGTCTTATATTTAGTACTGTATGTAGTCTTGTATTTAGTACTATATTTAGTACTGTATGTAGTCTTGTATTTAGTCTTATATTTAGTACTGTACGTAGTACTGAATGTAGTCTTGTATTTAGTCTTATATTTAGTACTGTATGTAGTACTGAATGTAGTCTTGTATTTAGTCTCATATTTAGTACTGTATGTAGTACTGTATGTAGTCTTGTATTTATTCCTATATTTAGTACTGTATGTAGTCTTGTATTTAGTCCTATATTTAGTACTATATGTACTCTTGCATTTAGTCCTACATTTAGTACTGTATGTAGTCTTGTATTTAGTCTTATATTTAGTACTGTATGTAGTCCTGTATGTAGTCTTGTATTTATTCCTATATTTAGTACTGTATGTAGTCTTGTATTTAGTACTATATTTAGTACTGTATGTAGTCTTGTATTTAGTACTATATTTAGTACTGTATGTAGTCTTGTATTTAGTACTATATTTAGTACTGTATGTAGTCTTGTATTTAGTACTATATTTAGTACTGTATGTAGTCTTGTATTTAGTACTATATTTAGTACTGTATGTAGTCTTGTATTTAGTACTATATTTAGTACTGTATGTAGTCTTGTATTTAGTACTATATTTAGTACTGTATGTAGTCTTGTATTTAGTACTATATTTAGTACTGTATGTAGTCTTGTATTTAGTACTATATTTAGTACTGTATGTAGTCTTGTATTTAGTACTATATTTAGTACTGTATGTAGTCTTGTATTTAGTACTATATTTAGTACTGTATGTAGTCTTGTATTTAGTACTATATTTAGTACTGTATGTAGTCTTGTATTTAGTACTATATTTAGTACTGTATGTAGTCTTGTATTTAGTACTATATTTAGTACTGTATGTAGTCTTGTATTTAGTACTATATTTAGTACTGTATGTAGTCTTGTATTTAGTACTATATTTAGTACTGTATGTAGTCTTGTATTTAGTCTTATATTTAGTACTGTATGTAGTCCTGTATGTAGTCTTGTATTTATTCCTATATTTAGTACTGTATGTAGTCTTGTATTTAGTCCTACATTTAGTTCCACATTTAATCCCATATTTACTGCATTTAATCCTGTAGGTAGTCCTGTATTAATCCTTTTCTTAGTCCTATGTTTAGTCTCATGTTTAGACCCACATTTACTTCTATATTTACTTCTACATTTAATCCTACACTTACTCTGACATTTTCTACATCCACTCCCACACTCAGTTCAATATTAATAAACACGTTACAGCAATATTTTCTACGACCGCTTTTTACTTTCAATGCAGTTTCCAATTCTTCCGAGTCCCTAAAATAAAATCGGTGTATTATTTTTATACTCGTTTCCGATACGTACAAATACTTCCTTTCGACGAAAACGAAAAGGGTGTAGAAGGATGAGTGGCTTTGAACCGATTTTACCACGTAATGCATCGTTCTACAGCTTATCAAAAAATAACATCGTGTTGAAACCCTGCAGCTCAACCGGGAGGGAAGTTACGGCGAAATTCACAGTATCGAGTTTCGTCCTGTTCTGTGACATGCAAAAATTTCAAAAATATATCGCAGACGTGTTGGGATACGTCAGTGAATTTTTGGAGATTTTTTAATTCGTGAGCGTTAAAATTAAATGAAAGATTTCGTGGTGAAAATACACTTTTTCCGAGATATTCACTCGATTTATAATTTTTTTGGAATTCAAGTTTGCTACAGGTGACATTTCACAAAAATACAGGGAAAATTGCAAGAATTGAATGAATGTATGTTTTTATAATTCAGTACGATTAATTTTTGAGTAATAAAATAAAATAGAATAAACATCAAATAATTGGTTTCCCAACGTTTTTCATCGACATGCTCTTCCTGTATTTTTGTGAGAACGGCGTTAATTATCGGCTGTAGTCTCTTTACATCTCGACATTTTCCATCGAAACAAAGGTTGTTACATTCGGGCGCGTCTCCGGATGCAAAGGAACGATACAACGGCAGATCGTTGCCCAACTGTCGATTATTACAGCCGCAACGAAACGTACTACAAAAGGCACGTCCAATTTGTTGGTCTTGCAGTCGAGTAATAGCAATTAGCCACGTCGAGAAACGTCAATGTTCCGCAAACCATAGAAAATCCTTTTTCTGTTGCTTCCCTTTGATTTTTCGTTCTTCGTTTTCCGCGCTGGATATTCGATCTTTTTCATTGCACGTCTAACCTGACGCTATCAAAGAATGCATTCTGTGATCTGACTCGTTTGCGGAATATTGGCGAATCAACGATTAATTTAGAGAAAAATCTTTCGCCAAACATTTCAATATTCATACGCCAATAACGATTGATCGATTTACCATTGTCCGAAGAAATTCATTGCTTTAATATCTTTTATCTCGTAATTATATTTTTGATCCCGCACGTCACAATATATATTGTTCCGTTAACGTGAAAATTTTCCTCCTGTAATCGAGGCATAATAGCGCGT